AAACAGGTGGTTTAACTCTTCACATTTTGTGGTATGTTATAAATGTGTGTGTGTGCGTGCGTGCGTGCGTGTGTGTGTGTGTGGGGGGGTGGGTGTGGGTGTGTGTGGGTGTGTGTTGCAAAACAAGTTATACTTCTAATTAGGGTGTGGGTGTGTGTGGGTGTGTGTGGGTGTGTGTTGCAAAACAAGTTATACTTCTAATTAATAGTGAAAATTGATCAAAAGATGAAGTTAAGACATAAAAAAGAGTTTAGAGGAAGAAATATACTTAGTCTCTACATCTGCAGAAAAGAAATCAAACTGGTTAAAGTATTAAATGAAGTGGTGAAAGAATTGAAAGAAAATTCACTTCAGTAACCCTTCAGAAAACCCTCAGTAAACATACTGACAAAAGAGGAAAACAAAGGCCATGACTATGCAACACTTAGTGCTTTTCATTGAAAAATACAGTAAGAAACTCAAAGGAAAGCACAAACTAGAAAAGATGTTTTCAACACATACAGCAAGTAATTAGTATATTTTATATATGTGTAATTAGTATTCTTCATATATATGACACAATAGTATATTGCTATATAGTAATATAGATATATATATCATGAGTGTATTACATATATATCTCATAAAAGAAAGAGTTATTAAAAAGAAAAGAAAAACCTTCCCTAGCATCTCTAACCACTCCTCAGACAAGTCTTGATGTATATCCCAGTCTGGCATTAAATCTGTGACTGCTTCCACCTCCTGACTGTAGGGATTGCAGACATTCATTAGCATTCCTGGCCACGTCTCTTTTCTTAAAACACGTGCAGGAATGCTAGTACATTTTTCTGAGCACTTGTTATATGCCAAGCATGTAATGCATGTAACACAAGTGCCCAGCAGACATTAATTCACTGAACTCTCACCAGTCACAACGTAGAACTTGTGTTACCATCCCATTATACAGATGAGGTAATCAAGGTGTGGAGATTATATAATCAAAGTGCAAAGTCAAGCTCCCTGAGCTCCAAATTCCTGAGATACATATCCTTGTAAAAAGAATTTCTGGGTCTACATGAAGGTAAAGGAATATTGTGGGGTTTGCTGGACAGTGCAGCGTCTCTCTGCTCTATGACTCAGTCCTACACCTCCAGGAGTGAATGGTCCACCCTGTTCACTTCCTCAACTTCCATTCACCATCCAACCTATTGTACTCTAGTTTCTGTTCCCCTCCTTCCACCGAAGGCTGTCTTGGCAAAGCATGCCAGTGCCCTCTTGGTCTCCAAACTCAGAGAACTCCTCTCATCTTTCATCTTGCTTGACCTCTAAGTGCACTTGGCACACCTTGCCAAAGCTCCCTCCCAGTTATCTGACACAGATTCCTCCTGGCTTCTGCTTCTCTGCATCTCTATTTTCTTCCTGTTCAGCTCTAAACAGATCGTGTTAAGGGTTCTGTTTCAAGTCTTGGGTAATGGTATTTATTTTCAAGTCTAGAAATACCTTCCAGATTTTCTTCTGAACTCCAGGTTCAAAGCATCCACTTACTGGACATTTTAACTCCACCTTTTCTTGCCCTCAAGACACAACAAATTGGGCAAGTCCTGAACTGAAGTAGTCATCTTCAACATCTGTTCTCTTTTATTTCCCAGTTCTGAGCCTGACACTGACCCACCCCACAGCTCAGCCAGGACCCGAGTATCCATCTCACTCCCCCTCATCCCACTTCCCCTCGCTTTTCTTGATAGAATCAGTTGTCAAGCTCTACTGCTTCTACACTATCGATCGCCACATCTCACTCCTGCTCACCTTCACAGCCATTGCCCAGTGAAGGTCCTTACAGTTTCTCTCTGGAATTGTTATTATTGTACTGTCTCCAGCATATTGATTGGACGTTAATCGAAATGCTATTTTAAAAACAAATCTCATTATGTAGGCCAGGCTGGCCTCAAACTCCTGATTTTCCTGCTGCAGCCTCCCGAATACTAGAATTGCAGGCATGTGCTACTGTATCCAGCTTTCAAGGTTCAAAAAGCTATACTATGTGGCTTAACATCCTACCCATGGCCCTTGTGTGGTTCCTGTGCACTCTATTTGGACTAGCCCTTCCTGACATCATTTGGAAGGAACTTATTCTTCAAGAATTCATCATTTGGGAAGCGTTTCTAATAGCCTCCATCTGGCTATCCATCCATCCAGCTACCCATCCATCCATTATTCCATCCACTCATCTACCCAGTAATTACTGGGAATATATTATGGTCCAAGAGCTGAGATTAGATACATGACAGAGAGGGTCCTTGTTTCCCCAGATACAAGCTCTATGTTGTAGATGTATATTGATCTATGGAACAATTAACAACTGTGTGTGTGTGTGTGTGTGTGTGTGTGTGTGTGTGTGTGTGTGTGTGTTTATAAACCCAGAACACTATGCACAAGCTGCTTCCCCAGCCCAGGTGTGTGGATTTTTGTCTTCTCCTGTTAAAGGTTGGGTTCATCTTTTGATATTCAGAGTCTTGGACATTTTAAGCCGTATACGCCTTTAAAAAATAAGAAAGTTTGTTGCCAATTTCCTAACTAAGTCTATCAGCTTAACATGCCTATCAACAATAAATAATAAGTAAATAAACATGAAAAATGAAAAAGGAAGGAAGTCTAGCTTGTTTGGATTTATTCTTAGTGATTCCCTGCTGACCTCTTAGTAATCCTTGTCTTTCTGTTGTTGTTCGACATGGTCATCAATCATACCTCTGGCGGACTGACCCTGCTGCATGGCTTTGATTTTCTACAGGTGTAGCAGAAAACTCAACCATATCCTTGTTTACCCACCATTGATAGAGAGTGTTTGCTTAATAATATGGTTGGTGTTTCCAAGCTCAAAACAGAGACCCAGAGGGCAGAATCCATTTTCTTTTGAACTTTTGAAAGCATACTTAACTCTTAACCATTTACAGACTCCATGAGAGGCAGGAGGCAGAAAGAGGGTGAAAGAATAAGGGAAGAAAGAGTTGAAAAATCCAAGTCCTTCTTCAGGGTTCAGAGAAAACAGTAAGGGGGATGTTGGGTGGAAATGTTCACTGTTGTCTTCTGGGAGCTTTTGGCTCTTTGGTGAACAGAGAAAATAGTGGTACCCCAGGTTTTCCAATTCCAAAGAATCAAGATGCTTTTGTCTCTTTGGGAAGTCAGTATTCACATAGCCCAAGCTGTACACATTACCTGTCTCCTATGTTGGGACAAAGATCCTAAGCGCATCTGAGAGCTCCATATCACCAGACGACTATCAGAATGGTTTCCTCCCACACATAATTGAAGGAACAGATGTTGTGTTCCACCACCATTCAACTTAAAACTAGTGCACTTAAATCACATTTCCTCAAAATAGCATACCCTGAATCTCAACTTCCCATGGGTCAGTATCCCATAACTATGGTTCAAATGTATTCCTTCAACATTCATGTGTTAGAAATATAATCCCAAGCTGACATGTTAATAATATTTGGGCATGGGATCTTTGGGGATCATTAGGAGATAAGGGCATAAGGTGGGTTCCTATAATGGCATTAGTGGCTTTGTAAGAAGAGGAAGAGCAACCTGAGCTAGAGTCCTCACTCTGTGAGGCCCCTGTCCTGTTACAGTGCAGAAAGAAGACCCTTTACCGATGGTCATCACCATGCTGGACTTTCCAGCCCCAAATTATAAGCCAAACAAAAGTCTCTACTTTATAAATAATCCAATTTTAGGCATTTAACCAGAAAACTGACCAAGACACCAATGACATGCTCTTATGAAGCTCTCCTACCAACCACCTGCTCTTGTTTTGCTTTTTGAGGTAATGTCTTTCCATGTGGCCCAGGTAGGCCTGGAACTCTTTAGTCTTGGCTTCCTAAGTACTAGGGTAACAGACAAGACCCACTATGCCCAGCCACATTTCTCCTTCATAGCACATAGTGATTATAATTTGTCATTTGCAGACTTCTCACTGTTGATTCTCTCTGCTGGGTTTAGCACTGATGACATATACAGAAAATAACTGTTGAATGACTAAGTGATGGAGAGTTGATCGAGCCTCCAATGCCTGCTGTGTCACCTCATAACCTCTGACTGAGAATCACTGAAGTTTCTAAGCCACATTTCCTGATAGTACTGGCTCTTGTGATCATCACAAGATTTTGCTCTTTGATTAATGTTTCTGCACCTGATGGCCAACTGCATTTGGAAACCATTGCTCTGGAGACTAAGTTTGTGATGTGCAATAACTGAGTTTATGGTGAGACATTAAACACAGATGCTGATAAAGACATAAGCAATAGTCCACAAAGAGATTGTCTAGTTTTCCTAACCACACACAGGTTTAAAAAATTCTCCACTAAGGAGGAGTGTAAGAAAACCTACAATGGATATAATGCCTTCCTGTCAGAATGGCAAAGATTAAGAGTGGAATAATAAGCTATATTAGTTGGTGTCTGGGGTCCATGTATGCTTCTTTTGATAGGCCTGTGGGTTCCAGTACACACAGGTTACAGAACAGCAAAGGCTTGAGGGTAAAAAGAGTTCTTAGCAGTGAAATTGCTAAAAGTGTGATGGACTAAACAGATGTTTGAAAACCCCATTACTTTAAATGGTTGTCACTGTGTTGTACGTAGTTCCCCCTGCTCCCCAATCATGTGCCTGTAAACATCCTACAATGATGTTATCTGTTCTCTTTACATGACTGACAAATCCATAGCTAGTGTCTGATGCTTTGGTTCCATAAACACCAGTGCTTTGTTTTGTTTTTAGCAAGGGAGTTTCCCTGGGTTATTTCCCCAGATGGCATCCTGTACTTGCTAACCCACATGGAAGATGCAAACACAAACTTGAATGTGACTCCTGGAATGACCTTTGGGATAGCCATTGGAAACCACAGGTCCTTGCTCTCTTGGAAAACAGCACCCTTTTCATTAGCTATACCTCTGTAGCCATCATTCAAAATGAAAAAAAAAATGTCCTCCTTTCTAAACATAAGCCAACGAATATCCTCTTACCAGGTGCATTCCTATGGAGGTGGACATTGCTGTCTCGATCTCTGTCCCTACATCTTCGATGAAGGGGTATTCATTCTGCTGATGGATAAGCACCTTGGCTCCAGTGGAGGACACCAGGAAGGGGTTGTATTCATCTTCATTTATGTATAAGATGACTTGCAGTCCTGAGAGACAGAGCAGCTTGCTGTGGTTAAAAGCTAGCAAAAACAGTCCCCAGGGGTCTGGGGGAGCCTTCCATCCAAGACCCAGGATCTCCCAGAAAGCAAAAGGTAGGTGAATACCAGACTGGAATATCTAGGACAGCAGGACTTGTGTTTGATCTGCTTATTGCAAGTTCAAAGTAGCGGTTCAAACACATGTCACAGTCACAGTGCTGACCAAGACTAAATTCCTGCTAAATATAAAGGAACTGGTTGAGATATGTAAATCTATGTAGTTGTTGATAGTTCTACTAGACATCCAAAGGTACCTTCACTGCTGTGGCTGTTTACAGAGTGCAGCTGGAGTAGAGATAAAATGTGATTGTATATTTGGTTGTTGGTTTAACCTCCTCCTTTCCCTGCTCTTGCTCTCTATATGGAATATTTTCTGTACCGGCTGCCAGATGGAACTTCAAAAACTGGAAATCAGGTCAGATCACTGCCTGAAGCCCCTTAGTGAAATCTCTCTGGATATAGGGGAATGGCATTGATTTTCTCTGCCTGTCCCCATCAAGGCTATGGAGATGTAGCTCGATCAATGTCTTTATCCTCAACTTATCCCACTCTCTCCCTTTCTGATCATCTCCAAGCACACTGCTCTTATGTGGTAGTTTGAATAAGAATGCCCCCATAGATTCATATGTTGAATTCTTGGTCCCCAGTTGGTGGAACTGTTTGGGAAGGATTAGGAGATAATGGCCTTAGAGGAGATGTCATAGGAGTACACTCTAGGCTTCAGACACTTCCTGTCATCCCTAGTGTGCTCTCTGCCTCCTGCTTACAATTCAAGATGTGAGCTCTCAGCTGTTCCTGCCACCATGTCTTTGTGCTGTCATCATGGACTCTAATCCACTAGAACTGTAAGCCCAATTAAATGCTTTCATACATTGTCTTGGTTATGCTGTTTTATTACAGCAACGGAAAAGTAACTGATACACCTTATTTATCTATCTAGGACACACTGGATTCATTTTCTTCCCTAGAACCCAGACTGCTCCTGTGAATGTGAACAGGGACCTTCTCATATTTAAATATTCTCCTCCATGAGGTCTTACTGAGTCCCCTATTTTCCAGCTCAAACTCCCATTCTGAGCCCAGCCACCCTGTCTTGGCTTTTTCTGTTAACTCTCCATCTTACCTCTCATTAGTATTGGGATTAAATCATGTCTCTGCATGCTTATTAATTTCCCCAGTGTTTCTTTCCATGGGAATGCAAGTTCCCTAAAAGCAGGAGTGGCATCTGTCATTCCCCCTGTATCTCTAGCTCCTCAAAGTGGGGCCAGCAAATAGCAGATAGTGTTTGGCAAATGAATGAATGGATGGGTAGAATCTTTGTGAATTGAAAGATGAGAACTTCAGAGCTATCTAACCCCTTATATTTGTAAATAAGGGAACTGATCCCAGAGAGGGATGTGGTGTGCAGGAGGCCACACAGCTTTTACTCAGCAAAGCCAGAACTTGGCCCCTCTTTACTCAATTCCCAGCTAGCCTCTTGGCATTGTAATGTGCACTCTGGGTCACAGCTTCTTGTGGTTGTGGAAAGAACACAAATTTCAGAGTTACAAAAGCCAGGATTCTGAGTGTAGATTTCCCCTATAACAGCCTGGCTATTCCTAAGAAGAGTATATCTGTGTAACAAATCAAGTTCTACTTGTATTGAAGTTTTCAACAATTCCCTTTGGCCGGGCATGGTGGTGCATGCATGCCTGTACTCTCAGTACTCAGGAGGCAGGAAGCTCACAAGTTTGGGGTTATCCTGGGCTATATCAAAACAAATAAGGGCTAGGGGTGTAGCTCAGCAGCAGAGTACTTTGACCAGTGTGTGCAAGGCCCTTGGTTGGATCCTCAGCACCACAGAAAAGTCGTGGAGGAGCTCCTTTTGTGAGGAAACCAAGCTAGTCTGCCATGTTCTCACCTTCCTTATAAAGTAGACATGGCAGAAGTTGTGGTGTCATAAACAGTTGTAGTGGTGACAGCAGTGACATCAGTGATGGTTGCCCACATAGCATTGGAGTGTGTACCCCCCCAGACCAGATTCACAGTGTGAAGGCATTTGAAGATAGGGCTTTAATGAAGGCTCAATAAGTCTTAAGGGCATGGCTTTAATCTGATAGGGCTGGCATCCCTTTAAAAAGGAGAGACTCAGCACCTTCTTGAGTCAGAAGACAGGCCATGTGAGGACACACATAGAAGGCAGCCATCTGCCACCAAGAAGAGCATTCTTATCTGAATTCACAAGTGCCAATGTCTTGATCCTGAACTTCCAGCCTTCAGCATTGTGATAAATTAATGTCTATTGTTGATGCCACCCACACTATGGTATTTTGGTATGGTAGCTTGAGTGTGTTCCAGATCTTATTCTAAGTGCTCTGAATAACATTTATGGGAGCTACTGTTATTGTTTTCGTGCTATAGTTGAAGGGCAGTAACCAAGGTCACACAGTGAGAGGCAGAACTGGGCTTTGGCTCCAGAATCTGTCATCTTAGTTAAAGTAAAGGTGTGCCTGCCTGCCTGCCTAATCTCCTATTCAACCCATCTGAGGTTAGCTCTGTTCAGACGCCACCTGCCCAGTATTAGTCACCCCAGCAACGAGCTTAAACCAGAGTGGTTTGTCAGCTGAAGGAAACACAGCAGTGTCCCTGTGGCTCTCTCAAAGATAGAGATGTCAGAAAGGAGGATACACCCACAGAGAAGAAAAGAATGAACACGAATGCTCATGTAAGCACTGGGAGAGGGGAAGTGTGCCTTTGCTTTAGAGCCAGGTGGAAGGGATCAGAAGCTCAGTGCTCCCACTTGTAGTCCCCATATGTATTGTTGCCATCATGGTAGTTACTCCAGTGCCTCAGGGTCCCCTCCACTCAGGTTTCCTTACCATACTCACTGCCCCCCATGGAGGTGCTGAGGATGGTGGCATTTTCTCTGTTGTTGAACGTATAGCAATTTCCATACATTGGATGGTGGAAAAGTGTGAAGTTCCTATGGAGGAAGGGAAAGGTTTATAAGGAGCTCGGCTGGGCTTGCCCTTGTGTATCCCAGTGGAGATCAGAAAGCACTGTGTTGGTGGAGAAAACTTTGCTTTGGGATAATGGATGTGAGTGTGACTCACTCTTCCCTTTTTCCTCTGGTGAAATGAACTGACCCCTCGGCCAGGTTGACATGACTTGATGCAGAATTAGACCATGTCCTTTGTTCGCCCTCTTAATCCTCTCACTGCCATCTCTATCTTTATTTGATATTATTTTTGTCTTTGAAATAGGGTCTCATGTATCCCAGGCTCACTTCAAATTCCCCATGTAACCAAGAATAATGTTGAACATCCGATCCTCCTGCTTCTATCTCCGAAGTGCTGGGAGGACAGATGTGTACCACCATACCCAGGGTGGAGCCTGAGGCTTTGTGCATGTTAAGCAAGCACTCTACTAACTGAACTACACCCTCAGCTCTGATAAGGTATTGTTCATGTCACATGCCTGCCCCCAAATTCCTCTACCCTTGAATTTCTCAGACAACACTTAGAGCTTTGCAAATCCCAAGCCCCATAAAATGACCTTCAGAGGAGCCCCTCCTAAGGCCATTCTGTAATTTCCCTCACGGGGAGATTAACCCAATCACTCAATATTTGAAAGAACCAATGTGTATATTAACATATAGAAGGGTCAGAAAGGCTCAGAATTCAGAAAAAAAATTAGCTAAACCATTCAGACTGGTGGGGCCACCTCAGAATGTCCCACTGATTTAATTGTCCCCACCAGGGATGCTTATTGTATTCAAGGTGGAATGGTCTGAAGAAACACAAATATAAACACTGCTGCCTCCTTCCTCCCTCCCCCTTTCCTTTCTTTTTCCTCCCTCCCTCCCTCTCCTCCTCCCTTCTCTCTTCCCTCCTCCCCTTCCTCCCTCCCTCCTTTCCTTCCTCTGTACAAGAGTAATTGCTCTCACACATTATAGTAATATACAAAGTTTACATACACACTATTGACTACCTTGTGTTGCCACAGATAAATTAATGGGTTTAAAGACATTGTGATTTGCCAGAGTGAGTTCTAGGAAAGCCAGGGCTGCACAGAAAAACCCTGTCTCAGAAGGAAAAAAAATATTGTGATTCTACACCAGGTATATTTTCCCAGTGACCCTGGAACCTAGCTCCCATGTAAGTGATTTTCCAAAGGGCAGAGTCAGTGTTCTTAAGACCTACAAGTGAGCTGCAGGTTCATGGAAAGGGGCCTGAGCTTAGAGCCTCATCCTCTGAGAGTGCCTACTCCTGACCTGGCATCACAGGACATTCCATCGAAGAAGCAGGTCACCAGCAGTTCTTCGGCAGAGTAGCTCATGTTGATTTTCTTGTCTACAGGCACCTGGGCCATTATATTCATGTAGTGAAGCTTGTACCACTCCTGGATGGCATTGATTCCCGAGCTGAAGGTGTAGGTGGCACAGTCAGAGTTGTCATTTGAGCACTGTGAACAAGAGGAGACACCAGGCTGTCAGTTCCATCGCTGTCGGAAGGACCTAGATGAGTTACAGATGCTAGGCTACATCCTTAGGAACAAGGTTGGTTTCCTCTTATTTCTGGGAACTTGAAAAGGTCACCTTAAGCCTCAAGAATAAAAGAGACAGCAAAGAAAGACATTGGGGTCAACTCCTATGACTTCCTACTACTATCTGCCATTGGACAAGAAGCAAAATCAGTTTTCAGGGTCCCCATGTATGCAGGGTTAGCTGATTCATGTCACTGTCTTCCTACTGAACTCTCCCATTTCTTATAGGCACACCTAGAAATCTAGATTCTAGCCCAGATTCTGACATTACTGCTCTGTAGGATCTCAGCCAAGGCACTAACGTATGGAGTATGTCACTGATAGAATGTTAGCTGGAATACCATCCTACCCAACCACACTTAGCAGTGGTTAGAAGGGCTCATGTTTGAAATACTTAATTATGAGGGCTCTAGAGAGAAGCCATGGAACATTCCAGGCATTTTCATCACTCTGGGCTTGGAAAGTGTCCTAAAAGGACAAATCTCCAAAGAATTTGGTATCAAGAGAATCATGTAAATATCCTATGAATAGAACCAGGAGGATTTTGAAGTCTCAATGATTTTGATGAGGGGCCTTTTCATTGTTGAAATGTGTTTAGATTGATAGAAAGTATTGCTATATTAAATGTCTCATAATCAAGGCTACTAAGGTGAAGAAACAGTCCCTGTCCATGCTCCAGTGGTGGCATGGAGAGGCACAGTAGTGATAGTCTTTGCCCAGGAGTGTAATGGAATTCATTTTCAGTGAATAGGTGCTTCCCATTGCCACTTGAGTGGGACCAGAGAGGAGATAAGAAGTCTGACCGTGGCTCCTCATGAAGGCAAGGACTACTGGGAACCCTAGTGTATTTTACAGTTTATTTTCCCTTCCTGATGTCTGTGTAGCAATTCTGCTTTGGGACCCTGTCAGGAGGTGATCAGGTGCCCCCAGGTTTGGCTAAGTAGAATCCCAAGATGGAATCTGCATCTTAGGCATTAACAGAAGTGAAAATGGCCTCTTTAATTCAGCATCATTTCCTGTTCCCTAAATCACTAGGTCTCTCCAATTTCCTGTCTTTAAAAAGCCCCCGTGAATCAATCAATGGTCCTCTTCTAAGACTTCACTCATGCCTAAACCTGCTTGAGGTGGGTTTCAGTAGCTTGCCACCCAAACCACTCTAACAAGATATATCTCTTACAGTTGCACTATTGGCTGTAATGATCAAGAAGAGACTCTGAGCCCACCACCTCCAGCTTCCCCTCCCCCATACCTGTGAACTGTGAGGAAGTGAGTCTTACCAATTGAAATCCCACCAATTTTTTTGACTCGTGAACATGCATGACATTAGAAGCCTTGTGAATGATTTTCCCACTGATTTTCCGCTTCCGACCAGTGAAGAAGTCTGTGGCCTTTCCCTTCTCATTCTCATTGAAGAGCAGCAGTGGGATCAGGTTGAGGAATCTGGGTTGTGAGCCTTCCCCTGTGGATCGCATGGATCTTGCTTCCCGGCGTTTCTGAGCTTTAGCCTCTGGGAAATCTTTGACCCCATACAGGGACAGCAAAGCTTGCTTTGTCTCACTGTCCAAGTCAGTCAGAAGGTCACTCACAGCACTGTACCTACGAAAGTGGAAAGGAAATGTCATGGAGAAGAAAGACCTCTAGCACAGTGCTGTTGCGTCTACATGTTGTCTTTCATCTTGGTGTCAGCCCTGTCTCCTGACCACTTTCTTGGCCAAGGAGACCAGGTCTTTCATTATTTGCAACTTTGCCCCCTCTATCTACTTGCTCTTGGGTATGTTGATGGCCCCAATCAGTATTTCTAGAGTATTGACTCTCAGGTACCTCCCATAAAGTGCCAAAATGAGGACACATAAATAACTACTAACTGTATGGTGGCAGGCTCCATGTTCACCCATCACACTCCGCCTCTGCCCACTGGACATCCTCCAACCCGTGCTGGGAGGCAAGAGATTGGGGCTGTCACTTTGACAACACCCTAGCACACAGAAAACTAGAACTAACTACATGATGCACAATGGCATCCTTTTGTTTTGTGTTTCTAAATCACTATATCAAATGGTCCCAGTTTCTCATAGCTCTCCATTCTCTCTCCCTCTTGCTTTCTGTAGAGGCCATGGCATAGCACAGTAGCTAAGGATATCAATTTCAGAGTCAAACTAACGGCCTTGTCCAAGTCTCCATCCTAATCCCGGCTACGTGGCCTTAGACAAGTTTCTTAGCATTTCTGTGTCTCAGATTCCCAGCCTGCTTATTTGTAAAATAAGGCTATTGGGAAGGCTCAATATGTTTATTATAGGTATAAGAAATACAGCTGGATATGGTGGTACATAGCTACAGTGCCAGCACTTGGGAGGCTGAGGCAGGAAGATCACAAGTTCAAGACCAATCTGAACGACACAGCATGACTTTGTCTCCAAGTATACAAATAATGCTAAATTTTAAAAGAAATATATTTATATGCATATAGGTAATTAAATGACCACTATTATTATTTGTAGTGGCATAAATATAATAGTTCACTCCCTCACTGTAGTATAAACTCCACTAAGGAAAAGAATGTGTTAGGGTTATTCTGTGCTGTGCCCCACAACCAAAGTGTCTAACAATTTGCGAAAGCTAAGTGAATAATTATGGATTGAATATGGGTTGAGAAAGGAAAGGGGGAAGATGGGAAAGGAGGGAGGAAAGGAGAAAGATGGTGGGGAGACTTTGGAGTTAGAGAATGAGTCTGAAGCCTGATTTTGGTTTTGATCTTTGCCCTCAGCGCATGCTTCTGACCAACTCAGCTTCTGGTGGTCTTGCCTCTTGTGCTCTTTCCTGCTCTGCATCTCTGCTCTACACCCCTGCTCTGCACCACCCCGCCCCCCCGGCTCTGCACTCCGCTCTCTACACCCCCTCTCTGCACCCCTGCTCTGTACCCCCTCTCTGTATCCTCACTCTGCATCCCTGCTCTGCATCCCTGCTCTGTACCCCCTCTCTGCACCCCTGCTCTGCACCCCCTCTCTGCATCCACGCTCTGCACCCCCTCTCTGTATCCCCGCTCTGCACCCCTCCCCGCTCTGCACCTCCTCTCTGTACTCCTGCTCTGCACCCGTGCTCTGCACACCCCCACCACGCTCTGACAAATTCTGCTGCCTTCTGACTTGCCTCCCAGATCAGTTTCCTTAATCCTGAGGACACTGATGACCCATTTAGAACAGGTCCTGCCACTGACAACAGGGCAGCACCAAGTTTTGATCCTGTCCAGAGCCCAGGGAGCTCAATTACTGGGCTGGGCTCGGCTCACTGAGATGAGGGGTCAGGGCAGCAAGGATGCTTCCGGAAGTTCCCTGGGTGTCACTTCTGAGTCAGCCTGGGAGAGTAAGGGAGTGAACTTGAGAAGCTAGGAGGAAAGGCTCAACCGGGCTACACGTGTATCTTGGGGGAGGCAGATTGCTAACCTCATTCCAGGCCCAGTCTCCAAGGAGAATTGGTCGGGCAGCCTCCCCTGCCTTCCTGCCTTGGACATAACCATTGAACTGAAAACATTTACAGGTCTGGAACCGATTTTGGCGATCAAATCAAATTTTTAAACCTGTGTCAGCAGGCTGGTGTGGCTCTCAGACCGCCACTCTGGGGGAGGGGCTTTGGCATCCATGAGAGGCCAGACTTCCGGCTCCCAGATGCCCCGGCAGCCTCTTACTTGTAGGGGTTGATATTGCAGATAGTGACGGCAGGGAAATCCAGCTTCTGGAAGTGGACTTTGATGGAGACAGAGACGGTGTAAAAAGAGAAGACGAGGAGGGCACACTGCCAGATAATGAGGGCTACTGCGGTCAGTGTGAACAGGATCCACAGCAGGCGCCGAAGGCGGCCTCGGGACACCACAATGCGGCGGCAGCCATGGGTGTTGGTGTTCATGCAGTACCAATGCATCAGGTCCTTAATGGTTGGTGCCTGGGGGCCTCGAACCGGCAGATTCTTTTTTATTTTGGCTTTGATCTTCTCTCCAGGCGCCATGGTGAGGAGGGGACTTCGCGGTCTGCAGAGTTCTGAAGGGAGAAAGGAGACAATAAGAGAGCTTGCAAGCACAGGCCTGCCAGCCCGTTCTTGGAGCCTCCGACTGGGAAACACCAAGCCCACGTGTTCTTAGAGGCCTTCTTCTTCTGTGGGCTGGACAGGCTGCATTCTGAGCCCTTGGCCCCTTCTCCAGGATATTTGCTTTGGGTCACCACAGCTGCCTCCTCCTCTTAGGGCCCCCAGGCCTAGCCCTGTGGGGGCAGGGCAATGTGTAACCTGCACATACTGGCAGGACTGGCTAAAGGACCTTTCCCTGGAGTTTCTGGGGCTGGTGCCCTCACAGTAACCCAGCCAGACTCCTGTTATCAGACAGGGCACTATAACCCGTGCCTTATCGCTTCCACTGGCCACCTCTCCTTGAGAGCAGCCCTCCTGTTTTACGATGTCTCATGGTGCCTAGTGAAATGTCCCTCCAGCACAGAACACACCTGACTGAGGAAATCTCCCATAGCTTTCCAGCAGCTGTTACAGATCATGTCTCGACCGTGCTTTGGGCTCCTTTCCATGTTGCTGTCTTACAAGTGAAATGATTTCTGTTTCTTCGCTTTACTGTCAGTTCTAAGTACTTCCTATAGCACCAGAGGTAACAACGGCCATGACTGTTGACCCCTCCATATTTACCAGGCATCATGCCATTTTACCTGATTTTAAGACACTGTAATTTGGAGAAGGCACCTAGATTCTACAGCAGCTTTTGAGGGGGGATGACTACTGGAAAATGAATGGACATGTTCACAACGTGAATGGTGCCTCTCAGCTGCAGAAACAGTACAGCACAGGATATTCATTTTAGCAATGAACTCACTGTGCAGTAGATAACATTGCCAGTCTCATAAATATGTAATCTCTGTATATAAATATACAGTAGTTTTATGTTTCAACAGTTACATGAGGTAGATATACGGTTATTATCTCCATATCAGAGAGGTGGTGTGACTTGCTCAAGATACACAGCATGGCTCCTATGTCCCTGTGGGGTCTGCATTTAAGACGAGGACTTTGATGACCCCATCGAGTTATTTTCTTTTTCAAGACAGTGTACAAAATAGTGGGTTTTGTTATGGCATTTTCATATATATGTGCCATTATACTTTCTTCCTCCTATTTGTCCTCTCCCCCATTGCACTTGCTGGTCATCTTCTTCCTCCCCAATAATTCCCTATTCTCTTTTCATGCCACATGTATTCTGTTACTCTCCCTTTCCCCCTTCTCCCTTACAACCTTTATCCTTTGCTCATGGTCCCCTTTTTAGTCCTTCCTGCTTAAATCTAGGTTCTGTATGTGGGAGAAAATATCTTTTTGAGAATGGCTTATCTTACTTAACACAATGATTTCCATTTCTATCATCAAGTTCTCTAGGCAGGATTCTGGACTAACATAATTAGTTTTCTTCCATCCTGAATCCATGGGATATGGTCCAAAATTGGGGGAGTGAAGCTCTCAAGTATACCATGATAGTAGGTTTAAGGCTTATAAAATAAAAGAAATGGAGAACTGAGGGCAGGGGTGAGATGTTCAGAGGTCAGACTGCCCCCAATAACCTGTCCCCCATAGACTTACAAAATTTTTTCTAGGTAGAGAAAAACTAGCTCTTATTTTCAAAATTATGCTATTAGCCTCCTGGCAAGCAGTATAATTTACTTGGCTTTACTCTGTTTTAAATATTGTCATCCTTAAAAAATAATTGCTGTGGGGTATGGTGGCACACACATAAAATCCTAGCACTCAAAAGGCAGAGGTAGGAGGATCTCTGTGAGTTTAAGTAGTCATTCTGGTCTGTATATCAAGTTCTAGGCCACCCAGGGATATTTTTTTTTTAAAGCAAATCAAAGGAAAAGAAAAGAAAGGACAAAAAAAGTTAGCAGTTTGTCTTTAAAGCATAGCTCCAGGATTAATTTTGTAAAACTGCAGCTTTTCTGCCAGATGTTTGCCAGAAGCTGAATTCCAGACACTCCTGTTCCTATCACTAAGTCTTCTCACCAAAGGTGATTCTTGGGGTTCCTCTGCCCATTCATCTCTTGTCCTCTAGAGGATCAGCAATCATGAGATGGGGGACTCCAGAATGTTCACATAAATATTTCAACTTTAAGGGAAAGCAAGATTATAGCTAGCACTAGGTTGTGGGGCTTGATTCGATCCAGTGTTTTGGTAGAGGAATTTAAGCTGATACACTCAGAACTCATCTTAAAGGGTTAGCTCACTGAATGCACTCAACAATCTACTCAGGTAGGTACCATAATTCTCCTATTATACAAATGAAACAGAGACACGGATAGACTAAGTAGCTTGACCAACGTCATAATAGAAAGTGCCCGGGCTAGGATTTGAACCTAAGAACCCACACTAGCTGTTCCCTAAGTGATGACAGTGGTTACAGATGACAGCAGCAGCGGCAGGCGCGGCAGCAACAGCAGCAGCAGCAGCAGCAGCAGCAATAATAGCAGCTGGCAGTCACTTACTGTGCCAGGCTTCCTATTCCAACGTTCTCACCTAATTTAATTCTCACTGCAGACTAAATGAGGTGTTATTACTATCCCCATCCCACAGAGGTGAAAAATGAGGTGCAAAAAGGTTAGGTAGTTTGCCCAAGGCCACACAGTACAAAAAGTTAGAGAATTCTTTGAAATTCCAGGTCCCTGGTTTCTTCCTGACACCTGCTCTCTTCCCTCGCCTTCCCCCAAACCTGGCTTCTTCTGTAAGGGAAATAAAACTTGGCGAGGGGTGAGAAATTTGCCAGCTTCTGTTCATCCTAGAACTTGGGCACGAAAGCCTGCAACCAGGGAACATTTCGATTCCCTCCATGCCACGGTGTTGTTCATATATAGCTTGAGATTCAGAAGCAAGGACTCTAGGCTATGGGACAGCGCTACCCACTGACAAGCTGCAGGCCCTGTCAGTCGAGACCCGACGCAGTTTTGTGGCAAAAGCTGCGTACTTCGTGGTAGTTCCCGAGACGGCAGCCGATTCCAACCAGCCCCCTTCAAGTACTTGATTCTTTCTGCAACAGACCTCCAAACACTCACGGTCAGGTGCATGCTCTTTAAGGCTGGGCAGTGGGGTGAGCTGGGCAGAGAAAGCCGAGACGCGCCCCCACCATCCCCCACCCCAACTCAGAAGCGCCTGTCGTTCAGCTCTGTATCCTGGGCCTGGGTCTGGGGAGAAGCCTGAGCTGGACCCAGATCGCCCGGGAAGTGTCTCAGCACACAGGCACTCGCGCACAGTGAAATCTTGGAAGCTACCGCGTCCCCTAGCTGCTCAGGTACCTGGAACCCCGGAATCGGACCGACTCGACGCGTCTGGACTTACCTCTCAGATCCGAAGGGTCGCTGGGTCTGACGTGTGCAGGGTCTGGGGACGCTTCTGTTCTTCTGGTTTCATAAAGCCAGCATCTCCAGGAGACACAACCAGGAGCGCCCTTGGGCCTGGCCTAGGCCACGCCCCTAGACACCCCGCCCCCTCAGACTCCACCCACACCTGCCCAGGTGTTTTCCCCAGGCCAGTCCCATACTTGTCTCAGCCCAGAGTAAGCCACGACCCCGCAGCGCCATCTCCCGTCCTGAGTCAGCTTTGTGCCTCGGCCCCGGTTGAGCTGCGTCTTGCTGTGGCACCGCGCGTGCTTGCTGCCGCCCAGAGGCCACTCTGAAGCCTGCATTCCCCCTGGGTCAGAGCCCCATCTGCTCCAAGGTACTTAGCAACTCCAGTGGCTGTACAGCTTCTGGGCTTCACTCTGGTGCAAATCACAGGAGCTCTCTTTCACCAGTTCTAGCAGACGTTCCATGCAGCCTCTTACTTCCGACCTTTTCAAGACCTGCAGCACGAAGCTGCTTCTGTGTCCTCTTGAGTCTGGCTGGGGGGAGGCCAGCAGGAGCTGTTCAACCAAAGCACTCCTTTTGGCCTGTTAGCTGTCTTTCTATAGCAACTCACACCAATGACTATTAGAAATAAGTTTAGAACACTGAAACTGTGAGGGACCAAAGATAGGTATCCGAGTCACAATCCCTTTGAGCTGTGAAGAAACATGGTCCCACAAAAGGGACAGCATTAACGAGAATTAAAACGTCTTAGACTTTAATGTGTTCATACCCACCTTGTTAAAATGCAGATTCTGGGGTTGGGAATGTAGCTCTGTTTGTAGAGTGCTTGTCTAACACACTGGAAGCCCCTGGTTTGAGTCCCAGCACCACACAAACTGAACATGGAGAAGCATGCCTGTAATGCTGGAGCTGGGGGTGGGGGTGAGAAAAGAGGCTCAGACGCTCAAGGATATCCTCATCTACACAGCGAATCTGAGAACAGCCTGTGTTACATGAGACCCTGTCTCAGAAAATGAAAGGAGGGAAGGAGGGAAGGA